AAAGAACCTTTGCCCTAGACTTCTACAGAAGTCAGGAAAGTGGCCTGGGGCACTGGGGGCTAAGAGGTCACCCATTTATTATGCCTAAGAAGCAGGGCTTAACTCAATTCTCTCTGACTCTAAGACTAGCACTCTACCCACTATGCATCTTAGCATAAGTTTTGCACATAGTAGGCACTTAGTATCTGCTGAACTGAATCGCAGACTACATTTAAGAGGCATAGATAAGAAATTATGTAGGAAAAGGGCTTCTCTGAGGTTCTTCTCATGATTATCTTTAATATTCCTATGTGAATTAGCATAATATACCTTTCCTCATATATTTTTGCTTACTAATCAATCCTCTTACTCTATCCTAATCACCCCTAACCTCCTCAGGAAGATACAATAGAAAATATCAAGGAGGAATGGTAAGAAGAACTGAGTTGTGGTAGACAAGAGTAGAAAATGAAATGCAGAATGTAAGTTTAACATATGCCTCCTAAAAATGAATGACTCCAGAACCTACTACCCCTCAGAACTTCTGTCTCCTGAGAATTAAAAAAAAACCAAAAACTTTTGGGGGGGGAGGGGAGACAGATGACAAGGAAGGGCTAAGGAAGCTACAGAGAATTACATGAAATTGGAAAGGGAGCCATCTGGTTTGGGGGCCCTGGCTGCTCAGAACAGATGAAATACCAGAAACAAAATAGTACCATGGAGTAAACAGGCCTTGGGGCTTTAAATCTCAACTCTGCCTTTATGACTCAAGGCAAATTATACTATCTCCCTGGGCCTCAGTTTCATCATCTGGAAAATGAAGGTGTTAAACTAGATGTCTTCTGAGGTTCTACTACCCTTTCAAGCTGGAAAGACACATGTCACAGGAACAATCAATGGCCAGACTTGAGGAAATCTAGGCTGGGGGGTGGGGAGGGGAAGATTAAGGAATTACTGTGATTTATTAATCGTGCAGCAGGTTTTCCCTGTATAGCAGACCACTTCTTTCACTGACCTCTGAACCAAATCAAAAGCCCTCTCACAGATTCCCCAGTCACTTAATAGACTTACTTCACTGACCTCTCCTTAAATTTTTCATAGCATTTTGCTTAAACTCCTCCTTTACACTGTTTTATTTTCCTTTTTATCAATTATCTTTATATTCCCATTGCCTAGCATATATATGGAAGCCTAATAATTATTTGTTAAATACGAAGTAATTTTTTTTCCAAATGGACCTTTGGGTCAACTGGAAGACTAATTAGTCAAACATTACAGCAAGCTACATTCTTAAGAAATTTTATTTTTCATTAACTTTATTTCTTTTATCTCTGCACCAGAAAAGTGAAATTCATTTTCAGAAAAATAAAGAATATAGTAAACCTGAGGGGTCAGGTAGCTCATTCCCCTACCTTATCAGTCTTCTAAAACTTCAGAATGCTTTGCAAATGAGAGTATGGTTGTCCTCAGTATCCTTACAAAAGGGAGAACAGAATGAATTGCTATATTATCTGCCTTTTAAAGATGGGAATCTGGGACATATACCACAGAAGTTAATGGTAGATGGCTCAGGGTTCCTAGAGAGCTCAAGATTAAATCCTACACAGTAATAGTGATCTGAATTCAGATCTAACAACATACCCCAGAATTCTGTAGTTGACCTCATTAAGAAAATATTAACAATGACTTAGATGAAGATACAGCCAACATAAGGATGGTGATAGAGACTGGCCCTATGATTTTGGTAACACCCTCTGTCCATGCAGACTGGCAACTTTTCTACAAATAAGTTTTATAAAGTTGGCCAGGTTCATAACCAGTATATGACAGCTTGGACTTTGAACCTAAATCTTCCTGGATCTGAGGCAACCTCTTTTATCTACTATACCATACTACTTCACAGATGACATACTTATCAGGTAAGTAGATTACACTGAAAAGAGAATCAGAACCCCAAAAGACCTCAGCAATATAGAATGATGAACAGCATCTAACGAGTTGACATTTAATAATTTGATTGATAGGGAGCCAGACTTGGAGTCTGGAAGACCTGTGTTCAAATCCCACCTCTGCTGGTACTGGCTGGGGAGGTCCCTTAACGTCTAGGTACACTGAAGTAACTCTCTAAGACTAATTTGCAAGGTAGAGATCAACACTGATGAAATCTCACGTCCACTTCAAACAAAGCAGCAGGCAAAGTGACAAATTCAAATCACCACTACTATAAAATGGTTAATGCATCCTATACAGAATGCCTGAGTTCAATTACACACCTGTTAGGTGTGTGATCATGGGCAAGTCACAATCTTCCCTAGCCATAGTCACCTATAAAATGAAAATGTGCTACCTATCTATCTGTCACACAGGAGCTGGAATAAGTAGTAAAGTGTTTCACCAAACCTCAGGTGCTATATAAATAGAAAGAGTGTGTACGTAACACTCAAAGCACTTAATGTCTCAGCAGACAGGCACAAGGTACAGAGGAATTGCCAATCTGTACCAATGGAGTTTTTAGAACGGGTGAAATGACCTACTATAGGGGGAAAATCACAGGATTAGTTTTGGAAGGGACCTCAGAAGCTATCTAGTTGAACCTTTTTGTTTTACAGATAAAGAAATTGAGGTCCAGGGAGGTTACACAGGTAATCTTAAGGCTCAAGGTTACACAGGGAATAAACATCAAAAGGGGAATTTGAACCCAGTACCTTTGACACCAAAACCAGTGCTCTTTCCACTGTATTATCCTATAAATCTCTCCATCTTATTCCATCTTATTATTATAAGGTCAAAAGAAAAGGAAACAACTTTTAATTATCCTTAACAGAAATGTGGGGAAACAATAGTTGAAATGTATATAATTTTTTTTTAATTCTACAAATAGTAATCAGTCACAAAGCAAAACAAAACCTTAAATTTTAGGCCAAGAAAAACTTAAATAAGGCCATTATCCAAATATTCTGCTTAAAAAAAGAGTGACTGTTATTTTCTTAAGGATTTTGTTCAGGATCACAGAATTTAGATCTGTAAGGCCCTCTCAGTGGCTACAAGCATGAGCATCTGAATTCTAATTACTGTTGTAGTTCACATAGGTCACATCTAACATACAAATTCTAATTTTTAAAAAGTCAATTTGTATCTGATAATAATAATATATCTGACAAGTACTAAAAAGCATGTTAAAAGTCTTAATTAAAGCCAATACAAATCTATCCTTTTATATTTTAAGAGTGTGATTCTACTATTAGACTTTATTTCAATCACCTTTTTAATGGCAAGATTACTCTCAAAGAGGCTTGCACAACAAAAATGTCAATTTCATTACATTTTTAAAAGATTAATCACCTGACAGGCCAATATAAGTAAACAAAAACCAAATTTGGATACAGCGTGTAACTACAATGAAACTATTTTTAATAACTACCTTCCCAACATTGTTTAAAGGGAAACACACTGATTGCAATCAGGGCTGGATGCAACCTTCTTGCTTTGGAAGCTGGACCACGGATCATTCCATCACAATTGAGGAGCAGTACGAAATCCTTAGAAAGCTCTAGTCAGTGCGTAAGAATGTATGCTGACTGGATTTTGCTGCATGTAATAGCAATTTTTCTTAAACTACATATGCATAAGACTATAGAAACAAATCAGCCAGAAGTGTCAATACCATACCCAAAGAACACAGAATAACCTAATACCCTAGGAATGCTTTATTTGGTCATTAAAAATTTTTCCTTCATTTGCAGGCAGGAAGAGAAAGGGAGACACTGACCATAAGCTCTCATCCTTTAGCAGCAGAGCCAGGCACAAAGTAAGCATTTAACAAGGGCTTGTTTCCTTCTTTCTTTCCTACAAGCATTAGCAAGCAAAATCTGAATTACATGAGGCCCTTTATCTAGATATTTTGCTATCAGAAGACATTTTCTTCATTTTTTATTTCTTGGAACCCCAGAATCTAAACTTTTATCACTGCCTGTCCTTCCACTTTGACTAAGATGGAACTATTAGAATTCAATCAATCAAAACTAGTGGCAAAGAAATAACTGAATAGCAGTAGTCATTTTAATGTAAGTCATAATTGCTGTACTTAATATCTAATTGCTGTTCCTAACATCACCTCCTGGACTCAGGTTAATGAGCTCTCTAGATGCCACTGTTCTATATAAGAACTATGTGAATAAGAACAGCCAAAAGTCAACAGTAGTTTCATCTATGGTATTTATTTATTTCTTCTATGTAATTTATTTAAAAAGAGGGGTTGGGGGTGGAGGGGATGTATAGAAAATATATACCACAACAATCCTAGGAATAACTAATACGGCACACACTTCTCCCTATATTTGTTCTATGGTATGCTAGGAAACCAAAAAGAGCAAGGGACCAGTTATTTCACACCCACTGCTCACTCCTAGGTCACACCTTAACCCCCAATTCTGTGTATGCTTTTTAGGGGAGGGCTGAAGTGTGTTTTCTGGGATACTGCAGCCACAAATCTATCCCCACTCTTCCTTTCTCATGGACTTTTAGATCAGAGGAAGTGGGCTGCAACAGGGAAAAACCAAGAGACCCCAAACCTGCCAGGATCCTGCCTCTAACAGAAACTGTGCAAAACCAGCCTTCTCCAAGTGTTTCTGCTCAGCCATGTGTTCGTTTCCTCCCCACCCCAGGCCTCCTACCACACCCCCTCTCTGTTCCCCAGGTGTGTCCTTTCCCTCCAGTCCATGGGGAAGGGGTCCCCTCTTCCTTCTCCATGGGGATGCTCCCCTCCCCCTCTTCTCCACAGGGGTGTCCCCTCCCTCCCCCTCCTCTCCATAGGGGTACCCCTGCCCTTTCCTCTCCATGAGGATGCTCCCCTCCCCCTCCTCTCCATGGGGGTGCCCCTGCCCCTTCCTCTCCATGAGGATGCTCCCCTCCCCCTCCGCTCTGTGGGGTCCCTCCCCCTCCTCTCTGTGGAGTGCCCCCTCCCTAGAGGGGGTCCCCTCTTCCTCGGTAGTCGTCCCCCCGCCCCGGGCCCGCACACTCACAGGCTGGTGGTGCCGGGGGGCAGCGGGCCCGAGAGCGCCCTCCAGCCCGGCGCGGGCAGCAGCTTCCTCCAGCTGCAGTCGAGCAACGGCAGAGGGCAGGAGCAGGGCGCGGGGCAGAGGCCCGTCCGGGCAGCGGCGGTGGCGGCGGGCAGGAGGAGCAGGGAGGTCTGGGCGAGGAGGAGGAGCCGGAGCAGCGGCCCCGACACGAGCACGGCTACGAGCGGCTCCCACGGGCTGGGCTGGGGCGGAGCCGCCATCTTTCCCCCGACGTGGACAGGGCCTCTGGCTAAGGCGGGTCCCGGGGGATCTAGAGCGGCCGCGCGATTCACTAGAGGCCCCGGCTGAGGCCTGCACGGAGCAAGGGGGAGGGGCCCTGCGTGCGGCGACGGCGGCGGCGGCGGCGGCGGCGGCGACTCGGCTGAGATGCCCGGGAAGGGGGGGGCGACGCAGCTCTCCGGACCCACCCCGAGGCGCAACGTTCGCACGCAAGGACGCCAGCCAATCCACGCCTCGAGGATGGGGGGGACGGGCTCCGTCGGGGGCGGAGCTTTCTGAGGGCGGGGCGGGGGCGGGGTCAGCGCGAGCTTCCCATTCTAGAGGCGGGGCCACCTTCTCCTCCACGCCCTCTCTCCATCCTCCGAGCCCGCCCCTTTTTCCGCTTCACCCTCCCTCTCTCAAACTCCTGGTCCCCGGTGGTCTCTGCTCTCTCTCAAGAACTGCCTGTACCTACCGGGAAACCACGGGCGGTCGGTAAGCGGACCGAGAGGACCCGAAAGCTCGTGCACCAGCCCCATGTGCTGGGTGACCTCGGGGAAGTCGATTACCCTCTCTGAGCATCTGGGGGAGGAGAAGAGCTCACTATTCTGGGTGTGTGCCTCTACGGCCCCCAAGTAGGAGTCCAAGAAAAACTGACGACCACCCCGTGATTTAGGGGCTGCTGGCTCGGATGCACACCCACCCGCATTCTAGGCCGTGTGGCTTGGTGGGTGGGAGGAGGGTGCTGGAGCAGAAGTTTGGTGCATCCCCGCGTGAGCATCCCGAAGTTTGCTACCCTGAGCCTCCCCTAGCCTGCTGTCGTTCCAAAGTTATGAAATAGGGCTTTGGGGACAACACTTTATGCGTGAACGGCCTTCTAACAGATGTCGCAGTAACTCCAGTCCCTTATCACATTCCGATCTCATGAGCTGGGCGGGGCAAAGGTGATAACTCTCCTTCCAGATGTGGGGAAAACGAGCCTTGGTGCGGTTGTGACTGGTCCAAGGTCAAGGACATAGCAAACCACAGGGCCGGCCCAAGAGGCCAAACAGGCTTTCCCCGAAGACTGGCCAATGGTGCAGCTTCTCCTGCTTCGGCTGCTCCGTTATGACTTTTCGAAAACGCTTTCCGCTTCTTGGAATAAAAGTCATTCCCAGGCCTCCCCAAGAGCTTGGCTGGGGCCCGGTAGGGGCAGAAACCAGGGGGGGAAACTGACCCTCCCACTTAGCACTTATTGCACAAAGGAATCCACTAAGAAACTGGGTATGTGAAGGAGCCCCCAGAAAAGGACCCCACCACACATATTCTGGCATTAAGTAGCTGATTAGTATGATTTCCTAGCTGTTTAGCCTCCACTGTGCCCTCGCAGCTATGTGGCAAGCTTTTTAGGAATTCTCTATCAAATTCCTCAGACAACCTGTTTCAAATCTTCCCCACTGTCCTTGGGACCCCAGTTCAACCTGTGCTGCCCTTTACTGGGTAGACAACTTCAACTCCTTGATAGGATTGCAAGATTTTTAGAGGCAGAAGAGATTTAAGACATCAAACAACCTTGGGAAGTATTCCCATTTTACAGTTGAGGAAACAGGCAGACGTCATTTAAGTGACTAGCCCAGGGTCAAAAAGCTAGTAAGTGTCTGAGGCCAAATTTGAACTCTGGTCTTCTTGACTCCAGGCCCCAGAGGATTCTACCAGTTGCCCCACCTAGCTGTAGTAGAGGGAAGGAGCATAATTCTCTCCTCGGTGACCATTATCCCAATACCTCACTTCTTGGTCCTCCGTTGAATCACGGTTGCTTTGGTCAAAATAACTCTCTCTCCCCCACCCCCCCAATCACCTTGTTGGCTTCTTTCTCTCCAGGCCTAATTTTCTTCCCTCTCCCACCCCCAACCCGCACCAGGAGGAAGTGGAAGATCAGTCAGGCAAAAGTATTAATTAAGTACCTACTATAATCCAGGCACTGAGCTAAGTGTCCAAGACAGTTCCTGCCCTCAAGGAGCTCACAACCCAATAGGGTAGAAAGCAAGCAAAAATATGTACAAACTATATATAGGATAAATAGGAAATAATTTTAAAAGGGAAGGCACTAAAATTGAGAGTTCGGAAAAGTTTCCTATGGAAGACAGGATTTAGTTGGGAATTAAAGGAATTAGCATTTGGCACATAGTAGGTGCTTAATAAATGTTTATTGATTGACGGAAAGGAAGCCACTAAAGACTGAAGGCTGAGAGGAGGAGACAGAGCTTTCCAGGCATGGAGGACAGCCAGAGAAAATGCCTGGAGCCAAGAGATGGAGTGCCTTATACCTGGAACTTCAAGGAGGCCAGTATCAAGAGAACATGATGGGGAATAAGATGTAAGAAAGGTCACAATGCCCCCTTTTCTGGCATAACTGCCCCCTCAGTCAGACTGGCCTCTTTGCCACAACTACCCTATGTGGTCTCTCCATATCCCTTTAATCAAATGTTTTGCTATGCTCCTCCGTTGTCCCATGAAAATATTTTTAGTTATGGCTCTGAGTACACTTTTTTAACATAAAATTTCGCAGACACCTCTGCTAATAATAGTTTATTATATTATAATATATATTATTATTTATATATTATTTATTATATTATATTATAATATATTATAATAGTTATTATATTAGTATTCATTAATTGAAAAAATACATGACAAAACCTATTCAGTTCTAATTTTAAATGAATTTTCTTTTATTGTAACAACATATACATAATTTTTTTACGTAAATACATTTTAAAAGCTAGTAAAACACGCAAGATATACTCAGTCTACAGAAAATACGTTTGTTTATTTGTAGATTCACATAATGTTAAATAGTGGAAAGAACACTAACTTTGACGTCAAAGCATAAGGGTTCTAATCTTGCTTCTGAAGTTGACTGCCTTGATGACCCTGGGTAAGTCACAACCTCCCCAGGCCTCGGTTTTTTTCATCTATGAAATAAGGGGACTGGACTGGGCCCCTGAGGTCCCTTCCCACGCCACGGCTATGATCCCATCGTCTCTCGCCAAGTGTCTGAAGCCCTCCAGAGTTTCCTTAGCCCTAGGTTGGAAAACAGTCAATCAATAAGCATTCAGCTGTGCCACAGATAGGGTGCTGAACATGGAGTCTGGAAAACCTGAGTTCAAAGCCTTGGATACTTACTAGGTAGTGTTGTGTCCCTGGGCAAGTCACTTAACCTCTGTTTTGCCTCAGTTTTTCATCTATAAAATGGGAATAATAATAGCACCTACTTCCCAGGGTCGTTGTGAGAATCTAGCACAGTCCCTGGCACATAGTAAGGGCTATATAAATGTTAGTTATTATTCTGTTGTTACTGTTTAGTCATTTTTTAGTTGTGTCTGACTCTTTGTGACCCCATTTGGAGTTTTCTTAGCAAAGAAACTGGAGTGGTTTGCCATTTCCTTCTTTAAGTCATTTTAGAACACAGTAAGTGTCTGAGGTCACATTTGAACTCAGGCCTTCCTGACTCCAGGCCCATTGCTCTATCCACTGTTCTTCTGAGCCTCCTCAATACACGTATTATTATTATTGTATACCTACTATGTACCAGGGACTGGGAATACAAAGACAAAAATGAAACCAGCTTTGCCTACAAGCTTACATTCTATCAGGAGACAATATGTACAAATATAACTATGTACAAAATAAAAACAAGGTACTCAGGTGGGATGAGAAGGCACTAAGCTGAAGGACGAGGAAAAGCATCCTGTAGAAGACAGTGCTTAAGCTGAGCTTTTAAGGCAAGGTGAGGGGGGGAGTTTGGGGGAGGGGATAGCCTGTGCACAGGCAGAGACTGGAAATGGACTTACCTGTGTGAGAAACAGAAAGAAGACCATTGGCTAGATCATACAGGGTGTGAAATAAGTGACTCATCATATGGCACATCCAGGGCCATCTGCAGTCCTCCTGCTTATATCTGGCCACTAGACCCAGATGGCTCCGGAGGAGAAACGGAGGCTGGTGACTTTGCACTGCTCTTGTTTGTTAAATCCAATTCACTTGCTTGTTAAGGCATCACCTTCCTGATGTCACCATCTTCTTCGAGAACAAACGACAAACAGCAATGTCATATGGCTAGAAAGCTGTGTTGGATTCAGGTGGTGAAGGGTTTTTTAAAGAAAAACAGAAGAGTTAGTATTTGATCCCTTTCTTCTTTTCTAGTATTTTGCTACATAAATTCCAACAACAACAACAATAATAATAATTCAGTTTTATATAGTGTTTAAGTTTTGAAAAACTCTTTACATATCTTATCCAATCCTTACAACAACCCTGTGAAGTAGGCGTTATTATTATCTGATCTGAATGTTACAGATGAGGAAATTAGGGCTCAGATAGAGTTACACAACTAATAACATCTCAGGGAAAAGACTTAAAATAGAGAGACAAATTAGGTTCCTGTTTTGATAGTCCAGGTGAGAGGTGATAAGGGCTCAAATTAGAATGGTGGCAATGATTTGAAAGGAGAGGCCATTTCAGAAGTTGTTGTGGGGGTAGCCAGGTGGTGCAGTGGATAGAACATCAGCACTGAAGTCAGGAGGCTCTGAGTTGAAATCCAGCCTTAGATACTTACTAGCTATGTGACCCTGGGCAAGTCCCTTCATCCTGATTTCTTCAAAAAAAAAAGTTATAAAAGAAAAAAAAAAGGAGGTGTTGTAGAAATAGAAAGGACAAGATTAGGCAACCAATTGATTATGTGGGATGTAGCCTACTAAAACCAGCTCTACAGAGCCAGCGCTGAATTTTCAGTGGGGCATTTATGCC